ATAGAACTTAGAATTGTTAATGTGGCAGAGGATATAAAAATATATGATGAATTATTACTAAATTACAATAATAACATTGAACATCACCCGAAACTAAACATCACCCGAAAAAAGCAGAAAAAGAAAGAAAAAAATATCGGGAAAGTAAAGAAATAAACTTATCTTACTCATGTACTTTAATGAAAGAAAAAACTTGTCTGTATTCTAAAATTCCTTATTTTTTATCACTTACAAATTAACCTCAATTTCTAAAATATCAAGATAGACAGTCCAAATCTCTCTCTTCCACACAATGCGGTGATGATTAGCCAATCTCCGCTCCGCCGTTAAAGCGTCTGGCAATCACTGAAAGCCCAATCAAATACCAATTAATCGGACTTCCACTGACATCACTTTAATATCCGAATATCTCAAGCGGGCCGATTCAACGAGGCTTTGGAGCGTCGACATTTAGGGAGGTCGAATGGCAGGCAGGGGCTTGGCGTGGCTTGGGTTGGAGGGAATATTAAGGGTTCATATGTATATATATATATATATATATATATATATATATATATATATATATATATATATATATATATATATATTTATTTATTTATTTATTTATTTATTTATTTATATTTATATTTATTATTATTTTTTTTATTTTTTTTTTTCTTTTTTTTTTTTATTTTTTTTTTTCTTTTTTCTTTTTTTTTTTTCTTTTGTGTTTGTGTGTGTGTTGTGTGTGTGTGTTGTGTGTGTGTGTGTGTGTGTGTGTGTGTGTGTGTGTGTGTGTGTGTGTGTGTGTGTGTGTGTGTGTGTTGTGTGTGTGTGTGTGTGTGTGTGTGTGTGTGTGTGTGTGTGTGTGTGTGTGTGTGTGTGTGTGTGTGTGTGCGTGTGTGGTTGCATAAAAAATCACATGCACGCACACACACACATATATATATACATAGGCATATACTTGAACACACACACACAGTATGAGTGTATGTGTGCTTGCGTAAAGAAGTCAAGTTTCAGAATTTATCAGTCTACCCCAAAGAGAACACTATTCCCATTTTCAGCAAGTCCGTTTTCTATTGTGTCTCACACTGGCGAATAATCCTTTCATCTCATCCTGGATCCGGGTGCTGATCCGGTTCACAACAATTATCTAACTTCCTTGTCAATCAACCAAATCTCGTCATTATTTTCTCAGTTATAGACAAATTAGTGCTGGCGGAAATACGAAAATCCTTTCTAGTATTGATAATTATAGTAACGACAATAACAAAGCTATAATGACACTGATATCGCTCATGTTAAGAGGTAAGGTAAGGATGGTGACAAAAAAATATGATGATGAGGATGATGATGATAATGACAAAAATAATAACAATGATAATAATAATAATAATAATGATTGTAATAGAAATACTGATAATAATGATGAAAGGAGTAATGATGATGATAATGATAAAAATGATGAAAGCAATAATGATGGTAACAGTGATATTGATAATGATAATTATCCTAATAATAACAACATTAATGATAATAATTATTATAAAAATAATGATAATACTACTACACATAATACCAATAACAACAACAACATTAAAGATAATTACAATAATGAAGAAAGTGATAATAATGTTAATGACAGTGATGATAATGATAATTATAGTAATGGCATTAATAACAACAATAATCATAATAACAGCAATAAGAGTACTGGCGGCAGTTATTATGACATTAAATAAGACAGCAATGCCATTATTTGCAATAATGACAACAAAAACATTTTAATTCCACGCATTCAGTTAAAGTCAATATTTCCTCCAAATAAATTGAATCAGCATCAATCACCAAACACCTTATATTATCGTTAATGGTTACCCATCAATTGCAGAGAAAACATAGGAATCAATTACCCAGTTTAATTACCTTTCCTTTGATTATGGGACAGATTCACATTGATTTGCCAGAGCAGACTGCATACATAATATCTATTCCGAGACCCGCGCCATGATCCTTTGTAACGGTCCCTATGGTTGGTCATTTGTAAGCTTGTCTGTGATTGGTCGAGGCGCGTGTGTTTACCTTTGTGTGGTGACAATGGCGGGCAGTGATTGATTCAGACTCGAGGGAAGCGCTCGTGTCATTATGTGCGGATACGAGAGGATGTGGATACGTATATATAGGGATTTGCGTAATGTAGATTAACATGGATTAGAGTAATGTTATAAATCAATATGGATTTGCGTGGTGTTAGAGATACACATGGATTTGGGTTATGTTATAAATATATAATGGATTTAATCATGATAATAACATTAATGAAAACAATATTGATAATGTTATTTCATCACTGATATTACTAATCAAAATGAAAGTAATTTTGATAGAAAGTTTCAAAATAATAATAACGATAATGATGACAATAATAATGATAATAATAATGATAAAATTTATAATGATACTAATATTAATAATGTTATAAAGGCATATGGATTTGTGTCATGTTATTTAGGTAGATATAAATACATATGAGTGTATTTATGGACATCATAAAGATATAAGTAGGCCTAATCTACACCACACACTTACGCATAGCCTACAGAAAGCCTAAATTTGAACTAAAAGACACAGAGATACATAGACGACTCTGGTAGAAGAACAAACAAACAAACAAACACTGCAAACCCGATCCAATCAGCTAATTAAAAGATACACAATCGACCAGTTTACTAATAAATATTCATACATACGGACACGCATATTCACAGATATTAATGCATATCTGTCTATCTATCAGACAGATATATCTATCTGTCTATCTGTCCGGTAGATGTGCATATCTAGACAGATAGATATGTATATATTTCTATGTATATGCACGCCCTTATAATGAATATTCAGGTGGACGTACCTTGCACAAGTTTAACAAATTGGACGAAAATGTTAAACAGTTAATTAAGCAAATGCATAATTAAATGGATGAAGTGAATATATCGATAGATAAATAGATAGATAAGTGAACAGTTAATTAAGATAAGAAATAAGTAAGTAGATAAACATATAGTCAAACAAACATACACATAAACAAATAGACAAACAAACATACACATAAACAAACCAATAAAAAAAACAAGTAAAAACGAATTCTCATGTCACCATAAAAGAAGAAGAAGAAGAAGAAAAAAATAGAATACTAAATAATGCAATGTTGGATAATCAAAGCCATTACTGTCCACTAATTAATCATGTCTAATGCGCGTAGTTACTAATTACGTCGATTGTTGCATGCAATGTTGAAGCGTTGGGAAAGGGCATGGTTTGTGCAATGGTATTGTAGTTGTTTTCTTTTTCTCTTGTTTGTTAATTTGTTATCATTTTTATCCCTTTTTTTTTTTTTTTTTTGCTTTATTGTATTATTTGGTTTAAAAAAGAGAAAAAAAGAGAGAAGAGGAGAAGGAGGAGGATAAAAATAATGATACTGATAATGAGGATAATGGTAATGAATAATGACAGTAATAAGAAAAAGAACAAGAGGAAGAAGAAGGGGAGGAGGACGAAAGAGGAGAAGGAACAAGGAGTTGCAGGAGGAAGGAGGAGGAAGAAGAAGCAGAAGTAAAGAAGGAGGAGGAAGAAGAAAGAAGAGGAGTAGGAAGAAGAAAAAAGAGGAGGAGGAAGAAGAAGAAAGAGGAGGAGGAAGAAGAAAGAGGAGAAGAGGAATAAAAGAGGAGAAGAAGAAAAAGCAGAAGAAGAGAAGGAGAAGAAGAAAAGAAGAAAGAGGAGGAGGAAGAAGAACAAAGAGGAGAAAGAAGAAGAGGAATAAAAGAGGAGGAGGAAGAAGAACAAAGAGGAGGAGGGAGAGGAAGAATAAAGAGGGGAAGGAGGGAGGAAGAAGAAGGAGTAAGAGAAGCAGGGGAAGAAAAAGAAGGAAGAGGAGAAGGCGAAGAGAACAAAGCCTTTTTTCGCTTATTTTACCTTCCATGTTTTAAATTATTAGATAAGAATCCCACGCAACTGCCGTAATCCGGTGATAAATATGTAGATGACCTATTACCGTGATTACAAAGTTCCCCTTCGTCTTCGTTTTTCTTCATAATGAGGGAATTCTCTCTTTGTGTCACCTCCCCCCCCCCCATCCCCATCCCTTCCCTCCACCACTGCCACCCAAATCCGCTTCTCTCTCCCCTCACTTATTCGCTCTCAGTCAGTTTGTCTGTCTGTTTGTTTGTTTGTTTTCTCTCTCTCTCTCTATCTATCTATCTATCTATCTCACTGTACACACACACACACACACACACACACACACACACACACACATATATATATATATATTATATATATATATATATATATATATATATATATGTGTGTGTGTGTGTGTGTGTGGTGTGTTATTCTTGTGTGTGTGTGTGTGTGTGTGTGTGTGTGTGTGTGTGTGTGTGTGTGTGTGTGTGTGTGTGTGTGTGTGTGGTATACATATATATATATATATGCATATATACATATATACCTTTCTTTCTTTCGCCCTGCCTCCCTCCTCTTTCCTGTAAGTAAATGGGTAAAGAAACTGATAAGATTTTATCACTCGTTATCTACGTAACTGTTATAGAAAATTCTTGGGCGAAATTGCGTAATGAAATGATGATCGCAGTAACGGCATTTACAAACACGCACGGGGTATGTATATATATATATATATATATATATATATATATATATTATATATATATATATATATATTATATACATATATATATATATATATATATTATATATATATATATATATATATATATATATATATATATATATATATTATATATATATACACACACATTTATATATACAGTGTATATATTCAGTACACGTGCCGACCGTCTCACTTATGATACACATATGAGTATTTTCGCCATGAAGCCAGGCACCTGCGCTTACGTCCATCACCCCGAACACCTGTCCAGAGTAACAGGTGAGCACGTGAAGGAACAGCACCCCCTCACCCCCCTCCCCCTCCCTTCCAGATG